GCTGAAGCCGAGGTTTTCTGGCTTGAAGGTGGCAGCCATGGGCTGACAGTCAAAGGACGGACAGAGGATTCAGTGATGGATGAACTAAACCTACAAGTTATAACTTGGCTGAAAAAGATATTAAAATGAATTCAGCAGAGAGTCATGGTTTGTCCTAACATCTCTGATCGTAACAACTCCTCAAGTCTCACTAAGGGTAGATAATAAATATATATTACTGTTATTATGGCTCCATCTAGTGGAAAGGCGGGAAACAGTATCAGAACAAAATACTATAAAAAACATTGTTCGAAGGAAATACACTACAACGAAGCATTAAGTGTTTCTTTCCATTATACTATGGTCGAAATTGCAACTGTATGCAACTCTAAATCTCTGCGATGTATTTTTTGTTATGGGCTGTTGCTCTCAGACTGTTGGTTTTAATATAAAAAGTTAACAGGCTAAATTCTGCCGTTTTTACTAATATTTATCAAGCTGGAATTGATCCCTGCTTGTCCTAACACATTTAACTGTGGATATGACGAATACGGTACTGTACTGTATCTTTATATGTCAGACTACGGTACTGTACTGTATCTTTATATGTATGTCAGAATATGCATTACTTTGTATTCTGTTTTATGTAAAACAAAGAATCTATAATATTACACTTATGACCACAAATTATTCACCTTTGTTTTTTCATTTCTCATTCTTGCGTTGTTTACCATAAAATAATTGTTCTTCATAGGTCACACAATGGTGAAGTTTTTTTCTCTCTCTCTCTCTAAAAACGATCAGAAACATGTTTTGTCGATATATACTTTTATAGACGTGGGATTGTTTTTTCCTGCCAAATGAATGCACTGTGGCCGATGTAACTGTGTCTTTAAGGGGAATTGTGACGTATAACCCTAGTGAGGTTTGATTGGCTGATTACTTTTCGCATGTTTCTTCCTTGTTGAAAAGCATGGCGGGGCAGCCGTGGAATAGCGTAAACATTCCTTTCCCAGGTGCTGTTTCTTGTGTCAGGATACATTCAAGTCCGAAGACAAGTACGTATAAAAACACTTTGGTGTGTCGTTAGTTGTTCATATGGTGGTTGCATAATATATGTCGTTGAATTCACGTGGACAACGTGCGTATCGGGTCTGTTTTGCAGTTGAAACCATTCGAGTTCTTCTAGTGAGAAACGAGACCGTGGTCAAACTGATCCGAAGTGAGTTTCTTCAGACAGAAGTCCGGGTTTTGTATGAGCTGCAGTACATCCTCAATCACACTTTTAGAGCAAACAAGACTTTCAAAGCTTTGAAGCAGGTGAGCCACTGCGGAGTGGGACATACTCTGGTCAGTAGAAGCAGTACATGTGATCACAGCTGTTAGACAAGTCACACGTTTATCTTTTACAGGTTGAACAATGTGTAAACAGGCTGAAAATGATGAAGCTGGATGCAGCTCTCGGTGATCTGACTCTGCTGTGTCCCACCGGGACCCAAAGGTCGGACCACAGGCCTGCTGCTCGTATTTGTTTTGATCATTTAGAAAAAATACTTTATTAAAAAAAAAGTCACTTTTGCTTAATTGCACATGTGTGTTTTCAGAGAAGTGAGCATCAAGACTGGGGAGTGTGACGTTCCAAGTCAACCAATGCTGGAATGGCTGTGTCTCAAAGTGCTGGGAGCGGCCCAGCTCATGAGCTGTTCGCTGGATCGCTGCAGCAGGGCGTTTATGTATCTTTTCTATGTTCCGAACCCTCTAGATAATTATATCTGTAAGGTGTAGGATCTGTTCATGTGATTGCAGGTGTGTTCCTTGTACTATGTTTCAGTTATCATCATGACCTTAACAGACTTGTTTCAGACGTTCAAGGCAACAATTGAAATTGGAGGAGTTCATCATCTTGAATCTAGTGATAACAAGCCTGTTAGGTCGGCTGTGGTGAGTGTCACAACGGTGGAGTGTTGTTCAGCTGGACGTCTATTCATCAAATATGAAAGAAATCCTTGTCTTTTTACCATCAGGGTGATTTTCCGTGGCATCCTCTTCAGCCTGTCCAGTCTGTACCAACAGCTCTTGGTGTTCCTCAGTGAAGTGGCCCAGAGTCGCTCCATGCCATATCTCACTGACTTTTCACTGCCGGCTGACTTTTCCGAGTTCCTGGGTCCATCCTTCGAATCTTTACTCAAGAAACAGCTGAAGGCGGTTTCTTCTGATAAAACTCACACGGAAACGGAGCAACAGAGAAAAGCTGCCAAGGCCAAGACACAGCTAACAACCAGAAAGGTTAAAGAAGACCTGGGTGTTTCTGTTGAAAGAGGTGGGGAAATGAATCTGTTCATAGTCAGAAGACTTTTGTCTGGAACTTGACTTCATTCTTTCTTTTGTGACCGTGTGTCTGCTTCAATATTTATTTTTTTCATCAAATGAGGTTTGGGTTTTGTAGGTTGCTGTAAAATGTTGTTCCAGAGTCACAAATAAAATTAAACTTTTTATCTTTTCCCTAGATATTGTTCATAACAAGGATCTGAAGCCTTTTTTGGAGATTTTCAAGAAAATTCCAGAGGTATTTGTGTAAACTGTTTTAAGTCACCGTTCCCTTATTGTTTATATGATGTTGTATAAATTGTCAAATCGCTGTCGTCTGATCGCCCTGTGTCATATCTGCATTAAGAACCAGGGAAATTTTCTTTCACAGAAAACTTACCAGGCAGAAAAGAGAGAACGATTCAACAATCAAGTCAAGGAAACCACGTCCTTCTCAGACATGGGGGCTCGTCTGGAGGACGTGATCACGTGGTGCAAATCCCAGGGGATGCAGAAGGAAAACGTTCTTTTATCTTTCCTGCGTTTGAAGTGTAGGAAGATGTCGAACCTGGAGACTGAAGGATACAAGTAAGACGGGCTCCAAAATATACACACACACACACAAGTCTATGACGAAAGTGATTGGTTGATGAAATTAACACAGACACATACATTATATTCAAGTTACTACTGTTCATTTAAACAACAAGGGTTTAAAAAATACATCTGTCTGTTTTTGTGTGATCATCAGAGTCCAGAGGAAGTTGCAGATCTTTAGACGGGACGTTTTGGGGATTTTATCACCTCCAGCCCACAGAACTAGCCGAGCCTCTTCTTCTGTGCTGAGGAGAAACCCTCGTCTGAGAAAACGGTTCAAGTCACTCAGGGACCAATTCAGACGGTCAGCAGTCAGGACCTCTTTAAAAAAGAAACGTTCAAAGAGAGAAAACAAAAACACCAAGCTTTCCGCGACAGAAGATGTAAGAAGCTGTTCCACAGCCAAGGTGAAAAAGGAGACTAGTCAGCACGAGAACCACGACGATATAGATGATATTTTTGCATCTAAAGGCTGGTGACACCTCAGAATACGTTGATGCTTGGTGACAAATACTGTGTGTACTTCTGTGACTTTTCTGCCTGACACTGATGTCCACATTATCAAGGACCAAACTTTACGACAGGGATGTAAACTGGCCTCAGAAGAAGACGTCACAAAAGTTTCCCAGCCGTTAGGACCTGCCTGTGGACAGTAATGAATTGTGGGTGAGGCCAGTGGAACCAACCCTCAGCCGTGGCTGTTCTAGTCCACCAACAGGGCAGTCATCAACAGCCATGTGTTGTTAAATGTGGTCCATTAAGATTTTCTTTTTGTATTAGCGGTTTGACAAATAATTGGTTTGGAATTGATTGTGTCCTTAAAAGATTTGTGCCATATTTTGAAAGCTGACTCACCGTCTGAAAAGTGTTACGTGCAACAATGTGAATGTTAATAAACTTTGTTGCAAATCAGTTTTTAATTGTTTTAAAGTCTTAAAAGTAAATGGAATTTGGAATGTGTGACGTTCTGACAAAAAAAATGTGTGCCCTGCTTTACATGGGCCACATTCTTAAATTATTTGAATTTAAAAGTGATGGAGAGGGCTATCACTTTTAAATTGAAATGATTTGAGAATGCTTTGAATAAATGGGTAGAGGCTTAATGGTGACATGGTAGTTTTATGGTATAATTCCCTGTTCTGTAAAATGAAGCAGCGTGTTCATGGTTTTATGAACTAAATGATCCTCCGGGCTCTTTTACAACACGCTCACTGCACACATACACGGTGGAATACGTTTATTAGAGTTGTTAAATTCACATGTTGCCCTTCCCTTTTAATGCTCTGCTGTAATAGCAAATCATTTCATATGGGCGAAGGAATAAAATCCGTTTAACGAGCCGAATTTAAGCAGGACATGACTCTCGTAAATTCTTAGATATCGCCCAGACAACGTGGAGTAATGTAATACTAGCTTTTGAAACTTGATCAGCAAGGCTCCTGCTGTTTGTCTGTCGCCATCTAGCGGTATACAAAAAGAAAACTTTCCCTGTGGTTGCTCCCAGAAACTGTATTTTAATACTAGTTAATTTATCCAATGTAATACAGTAAACATGTTTTAAACTGAAGCTGAAGAATTTGATGGCTAATGTTCAGACAGAGACATAGGTTCATCAAGTTATATCAGGTGTTTTACAATAACTTAACTCAATATAGTTTCTGCAGTAGGTAGACTTTTGTAAAATAAAAGTCTAGAATGCATTAAAATGCATGGACTTTCCTGAATAGTTTTTGTTTAGTTGTTTTTAAAATAAAAAATATAAATAAATAAATAACCCATTCACAGAACGGTAAAGAGTCAGTCGGTTTTTAAATATCTGTCACAGTTAACATATATATCTGGCACGTCTTCCATCGCATTCATGTCCTGAGGGAAACAACAGATCAGATCAGGGTGTTGACAGACCTTTTCATATACAGTCATTGGAGACGATGTCGTCACTTCCTGTCATCTTGAATTTCCTACTTCCGGAAGGTGGGGCTTTTGTTTTAAGAGAGGTTTGTGTTTGGGAAACCGATGAGCAGATTTCTTTCCAGAGTTAATACAGTCATCCATGTAACGTCGATAGAGGCAAGTGCTACGGAACTTTAAATCGGTAAGTCTTCCGAAATGTTTGAAGAACATTTGTTAATCGTCGAAGGCCACAGAATATGGAGAATTAGTCACTAACTGTTGAACGGACGGACGAAGAAGCGACCGGTAGACACCGAAAGCTACTCGTGTCGTTTTAACGGTGGTAACTCGTTATTTCTGTTTAGTTTTGATTCCCGATGATTCGTGTGAACCGTACCGAAGTACAACACTGCACGTGATGTTATTAATGATTTGTTTTATGGCGGAGGTACTATGTTGTTGTTAAGTAGCCATTCTGGACTACGGTGGACTTTATTTCTTGTTACTCCATTATTACAGAGATAGATATTAAGCGTTGTGTAAAGATGTTTACTTCCTCTTTTACCAACAATGGGTTTAGTAATGGCTTAAACACCTACCCGGAGGGAAGTAGCGTCCCTGCTAACGGAGGGTCCGTCGCCGTTACTCCTGTGGTTAGCATTCAACACCGGCCGAAGTCGAAAGAGTTGTTACTTCAACTTTAAACAGGTTCATGTTAGTTACTTTTCGCTGGATTTTGTTCATGTAAACTTTAAGACCGTGTTCGTATGTGCCATTTTCTTGTTTGTTTGTTTGTCCACTTGGTTAATGTTGTAGACCGTTGTCTCTGAGATGACACACCCAAAAGTATCTTGTGCTCACAGTACTTCAACCGTCGGTGGTGTAATCATTTTGTCAGCAAAACCGAAGGTTGACATCATAAACACTTTTTTTTTGTAAAAAAACAACAACAAAAACTGTGATGTCAGCTCCAGGGTTTACAACTGGGAGGTTAACCTCATTTTACCAGTCTTATCTGCCCAATGTTGGTAAAGTTAATAGTTTAGTGTACAATAACCAGTGTCAGGGTTTAAAAAGTTCTATAATATATAATAATATAGTATAGTATAATAAATACCCACAGTTTACATTTCTGCATGGTTGAAAAAAGAAGACATGAATGATCCAAGAGCTAGAAATACTACCAAATGCTTCCTCCGGATCATAGGAAATTAATAAATTACCATTCACCCTTAATTTTAAATATTTCCTACAAATAATACATGTTTTCAGTGTCTTTTAGTCCCACGTTAGAGTTGTAATTGTGAGATATAATTATTCCATATTGACTGATGGGGATTATTTGAACCCTGTTAATTCAGACATAAAGTTTATTATACTCCAGTTCAGGTGTTTTCTGACTTTCCTCAGGAAAAACAACTATATACTATATATGTAAGGTTGACGCTAAAGATGTGTTGAGTGGTGATGAATGTGTTTACTGATTCCTGTTTTTGCAGCCTGGTGTAACTTTTTCACTTCTTATCAGCTATTTTTGTTGTTGTACTTTTGTAGTGCTTTGACGTCACAGTGAAGAAAAGGGTTAGGGTTCTGCTGCTCTGTCTGACTGGCCTTTTAATTCACTGCTCAGCATATTTGGATTGTGAAATCAGCTGTGAACTGTAAACCACAGGACTTGTTGGGACTTGCCAAACAATTAGACAAAAGAGAGATATTTGACATTTTTATGTTTTGTCAGGTACGACATGGAATCTGCTTCTTTACCAGAGGCAATATCAGCAGGTCGCCGTTCATTCTGAGTTTTTTGTCACATTTGAGCTTCTTCACTCACAAGTCTAAATTATCTCTTTACACATGAGCAGAAACAGCTTTGAGCTTCAGAGTTTGGAAAACTCAACCTGTGTTTCCTCTGTTTAAGTTTATATTTAGGTCAACCTTATCACCATGGACATGTTTGGATGAGGCAGCTATGCAAAGGTTAAAATGTCCATTACTCTTTAGAAAAAAACACCATAAGGAAGTGTTTTCCAGTTTGTAAGAGGCCACTTAAAGAAAAAGTCAAACTTGTATGGTTTGTTTTAAATTGTTTGTGATGTGTTTTCTACAACGTCATTTTCTAAATATGGATTCCTCCCCTGTTACATTTTTATTTAAAAACAGCTGTTTCTCACTAACTAGAAAAAGGAAAAACATTTTAATGTTACAGGGAATTAAGTATAATTTTCACTTTATTACAGTCATTTATTTTCTCAATGTTGTAGATCAGAGGCACCCACACTATTATGGTTTCAGAGCTACTTTTCAAATGACTAGGCTAAAGTGATCGACTTGAATTAAAAACGTTAAGTATATATTTAACTCATATAAACTGAACATACTTTATATGTTGAGGAAATGATGAATGCATGTAGCTCTATGGCAGAATATGATTTAATACTCATAGTATATGGTCACTACTAAATACATAAAAATATAGTTGTACTTGTGTTTTTATATGAACTGCTCATGACCTACCAGCACTCCCTTTGTTATAATACTGGCAGATTCATAAAACCCCCAAAAGTTATTGTATTGCATCTCCTTTAACAACATGTGTGAAACTAAAATGTGATTTTCTACTCAGCAGTGTCTTGTCTTAAATCTCCATGTGCTTTTTTATTATCTTTTTCCTTCCCTTTCGTGACGAGGTTCCCATGTGACCCTGGATTCTCAGTGTGCAAAGTCACAAAACCACCTACTAATTATGTTGGCAGTGCATGTGCAGGGCAAGTGAAAAAGACCTGAGTGAGGTTTCTTTACTGCCTTTAAAGTGAGTGTAACGTTCAGCAGATAGTGCTGTAGATAAGTGCGTACCAGGCAGCCATTAATTGTCTGTTAGCTGTCAGCAGGGACCAAGTGAGGTTTATGTATTTTCCCTGACTATCAGTGAATAACTAAATAAAACCATGAATTTTAATTTAAAAGAATTCCCGTTCCCATGTGCAGTGTAGAGTACATGCCTCTGCGTTTTCACAGGGCTGTTGAAATATTCCAATTAACTGTGCTTTTCTTCATTTGCTGCTTGCTGTTTTCACTGTTTTACTAACTGCAACATTAGTGCATTGGGATTTGACAACTCTGTTTTCAAAATCCACATTTCACACAATCAGACATTTTACCACATACTATGCATATCTAATACGGGGTCTGCAGAGGGGAGCTAAAACAAATTCAAAGAGTTAAATGGCAAAAGCCATGACTTATTGCTAAAGATGTGTAGATAATTTAGTCTACTTTTCTACTGCTGTTGTTAATTATAAATACATTTGTGGTAGTTTCTGCTTTTTTTAAGTTGTGGGTATTTATATAATTATTTAACCAAATGGAATCAACAATAATAATCATTAGATAAATGAATTAATTGGAACATGCAGCTCTACTTGATCAACAATAATAATCATTAGATAAATGTGCAGCTCTACTGTAGTCACCCTGAGGTGAGGGAAAGGTTGATTTATTTATTTTAACAAAGATTAAAATGTTTCTGCCCTGAGGTGGAGAAGCATTGTTAAAAGATAGTACTGTTGTTGAGTCTGGATTATCATTTGTTAGAGGCCAGAGTCACTTGCCTGTAACTTTATCATGTCAAAGGCAGACAGAAGGACGTTGCTTTTTAAGCTTCAAAGCACTCTTCGCTTCTGTCATGTGAATTGGAGGAAGATGAGTTCTGAGATTGTGATGATGGTTTTTATTTTTTTAAAGTAAGCGCACCAGGGAGGATATTTTATAGGCACCGCCGGCCTCATAAATACATCTCAGCTGTGTGGGTGGAGGTGTGATATCAGGGGGAGTTGGATAGATCTTTCTGCTGTACTGTCATAGTTTACAGCTCCTCAAATGTTAAATCATCATGACACCACAGGCCTTGCAGCACAGTGTAGGTGGTGTCTTAACCAAGATAGTGTCACACCGTTGGTAGAAGTGAGGATAACAAGGTTAAATAAATGGACAAGACCCCAGTAGATCAGGTCATGATTGAATACAGAGAGACTGTTTCCTCTTTGAATTGGTATTTCTACATCACTGACACGAATCAGAACTCTGGTGCTCAGAGGTTCCTACATGGTGCTTGCAGTGCACTCAGAAACGAGCTGCTGGTTGTGTGAAAGGCTCCTCTGTGTGTTGTGTCGGCCAAGAGTTTTTAGTATGCACTGTGGGAAGCTTTTTTTATTTGGAAGCTTTTGTGATAGACCACTGATCCTTTGGATAGACTTTTCTCTTTATTTTTTACAACCCCCAATGTTAAGTGCAGTTTTCTTTCACCTTTTATATATACAGTATGTTAGAGTCCCTGCTGTGACTTGCTGTAAAACATAACTCTGCGTAGTTGCACTTGGATAAAAATATCTACTTACTGTGCATCACTGAAGATGTATTTTTACATGTTCCTTTCTGTTCACTGTGGTGACTCTTCCGGAGTATATTATTTGACCACAGGGACCAGTTATTATTATTATAAGCAGATCAACAGCTATCCACTGTGATCCTGTCAGTTGGGGGAAGGATGAACATTTAAATTCTGACTGTGTCACTGGTTTTGGACCTGTGCAGCTAAAACTGTGATATTGGTTGAATATTTTATGTTCACATAGCATCATGGTTATGCCAGTCTCTGCCTTTGTTCACAATGGCCACATTTGGTCCCACAATTAACATCTGGACAAGACAGAACGGTCGGTTGGCTAATTTTATTTTGTATCTGCATGAATTAAATAGTCACAGATTAAAGTGTAATGTTCAAGGTATAGAACATAGATGTAGAGTTGAAGAATGTTGCAGCTGAACAACCCCCACCCAACCCATTGAAAATGTTGGAACTTCCTGTGGAAAGAAAACTCTGAGAACTTTTTTCCAGCTTGGCATTGTTTCTGTTCAGCATCCCAACTGATTTGTTTTATAGTTTCATTCATAGTGTAGTTCTGAGCTCTGCGTGTACTGGACAACAGGGGAATCGTTACAGAGACTAGTAATATGAAGGCCTTGATATATGAAGGAGTTTACCCAGCCTTTATGTGACTCTATGTGAACGCTTACACTTAGTAAAAACAAAGACAGGAAGAGAGCAAAGGTCAAACTTCACTTCCTGGTTAGAGAAAGTAGAATTTGCAGAAGTGTAAAAAGAAACAAATACAACATGGTGGTCATTGTAGATAAAATAATACAACAAGAGACAAATGTCCTGCATACAGTGTCAATTTTCATCAAAGAGTCAATAACCTTCTTGTCTAAACTAAGACCAATCCAGACGTTACGCAGTCCAATCAGTGCTGAGTTCGATACGTAAACTGGAAGAATGAATGAGGGCAAGAGCCAATCAGAGCTACTGTATGTTTGTTGGCGGGGAGGTGGTGAATCTGTTGAATCACTGAGACCAGGACAGTGTTGTTATAACTAACTCTAGACTTTCTCATCTTAAGATTGTATTAGGTTGTGTTTGTGCAGTAAAAGGGAGTCACAGTAGATTACTTCACAGTAGTGTAAAAACTGCAGTTTTTACTGATTGTCTAGAAGGTAGTTGTCCACTTCATCTCCTGAAGACGGCACCAAAGCAGAGGACTTAGGACATTTTCGGTCCCTGACTTCCAACTATTGACCATTACAGTGGAACACAGAATGCTCCATTCTGTCTGTGGTGGACTGAATTGTCATTAAAGCAGCCTCAATGACCGGGTTAATGATCAGTTTAATGCAGTGCACCAATGCAGTCCAGTTGGAGATGGTCTGTGCTTAAGTTCCTGCCACTATCCAATCATTTTTATGGTAATGTCGGCTGATATAACTTTGATAGTTCTTATTTCTCTGCAGGTTATTATCCATTTGAGAAAATGACCAAATTTTCATGCATCCCTGACTCAGAAGTGATTGAATAGAGGAGTTGTCCTCTGTGGTCACAGATGTAATGATGCTCCAGGACCGTTTCCATGGGTCACTGTCTTTTCATGCATCTCATGCCAATGTCTGATGGTAACAACCAGGTTTTCTCTTGCTCCCTGTTCTAAGTTGTATATGATGGAGACGGTTGTTCTCGGGTCAGAACAGGGCCAAGGCCTTTGTAGAACAGATAGACGACCGGTGAGAGTTTCCCCTTCGGTGCCCTACTTTAATGCATTCCTAAATGCAGCTGCAGTAGAGAATGATAGCTTCATTACTGCTGATCAGCTGCAATGACCTTTTGATAGCGAACTTTATAAAGACCCAGGATTCATGTGCAGGCAATTTGGCACATTAATGGGAAGGGTGGGGGTTAGGATTCAAGATTTGTTGGAGCAAAGCCTACTGCCTTGGCACTGCAAGTTACTGTCACAGTGAAAGCTGTTAAGTAACAACTGCCATCTGTCGCTGTACTTGTCCCCTGCACACTTCTCTTATTTATGTTTCGGGTACATTTAACGATACTCACTGCTATGTCTCCACTGTTGTCATTGCAGGTTGTGTCAGGGAGTGCTGAAAAGCTTGTGTCTGCGTGTGCAGTTGCATGTGTGTGAGTGTGTGAAAGGGAAAAAAAGAAGAATCCAAATGGCAACCGGTAAAGGTAAAAACCAGAGCTCCTTGGCACTGCACAAGGTGATAATGGTGGGCAGTGGTGGTGTTGGGAAGTCAGCTCTGACCCTGCAGTTCATGTACGACGAGGTGAGTGGACACTTATATTTATATATATATATATATATATATATATTAGGGATGGCTAGGTCCAATATTGGTCAAGATTTCAGGATCAGATATTCTGTATATGATCCAATACCTAGGTTTAAATGCTCAATTCCAATGTTGCAAATTCTAAAAGATTGGGTGATGCTATTTACGGCAGCTTCAGTAGAAAACTGTGGCGAAAAAATGCAATTTAAGTTGCTTGACAGATGTCAAACGTGCTGCGTCTGACCTCAGTAAAAGAACGTGACTCTAGGAGCAGAACAGCTATGATCAATTTGGTGCTAGAAAATAAAGGTTGAAGGGTTTACACAAGAGCTTGGTGTATATAGGACACCTTGTCTTGTCCATTTCCTGCTTGACCACAGCAGTTCACTGTGAGAATTCAAATGAAAGGACAGTGTGAACAAACACAGCAGCAGCTGTTCAGCTGTCATCTTGTGTCAAACAGTAAATGGCTCAGGTACACATCAGATATTCATGTCTTTTCCAGTCATTGTCACCATGTTTGTCTGTTTGCATGAATTATCTGGTTATATTTCACTTCTCTAATGCATTTTAAAGTTCCCAACAGCAACTCTTAAAGAACCTAAATCATTTGTTGTACCTGTAGTTTGTGGAGGACTACGAACCCACCAAGGCAGACAGCTACAGAAAGAAAGTGGTTCTGGATGGGGAGGAGGTCCAGATTGACATTCTGGACACGGCGGGCCAGGAGGACTATGCTGCCATCAGAGACAATTATTTCCGCAGCGGCGAGGGATTCTTACTTGTCTTCTCCATCACAGAGCAGGAGTCATTCTCTGCTACTGTGGAGTTCAGGTACTGAAACAAGCCTATAAATCTGACCACCTGAAGGACCTGTGTCTGAGATCACAAACTCTGTAAAACAAAGTAAGAGTTGGACTTAAAAGAGTAGTTGTTTTGATAGTGTAGAAAGTATTAAACGTAGTGTGCAAGGCCTGAAATCGTCTTATCAATTGTCTGTTGTTGTGTTTAACTTTGCCCTTGATCTCTGTACCAAGACCAGTTTCTATATTAGTCATGCAAATCCAGGTGAGAAGATGGTTTTAGAGCTCCTGCACCAGAGCAGAACCTTAATGGTTCAAGTCTGTTCCTGTGAAGCTATGCTTGAGGGGACATTTTTATTTTAAATAACTATTCTTACGGGGACACTCTCTCCTTTTGGGGACATTTTGAATGTCCACACTGAGTAAAATCGTATTGAGAAGTTTAATTTTAGGTTTGGAGTTTGGATTAGAACTAGATTAGAGTAAGGGTAATTTCTATACTTAATGTTTATGGTCAGAGTAGTCAGCCCATGTGAAGTGGTGTGTGTGTTGCGAGTGGATCAATGGTTGCAGGAGTGTTTTGATAGGCTCTCTTCTCATCCTCATTCAAATGCTGCTACTCTGAATGCTAAGTTCAGCAGCCCTGTAGAATCCAAAACAACGCCACACTAATGAACTCCAGTCAGTGGACCACATAGATCAAATGAAGGACTCGTCTCATTTGAAGAGTTGAAGTTTGGCTTTGTTTCTTTTTAACAACAGGAGTACTTGGAAACAACATGGTGGCATCACTTTTTTATTTGTGACACAAGTTCATGATCTGCTTTGTGTCGACAGGGAGCAGATTCTGCGGGTGAAGGCAGAGGAAGACAAGATTCCTCTCCTGCTGGTTGGAAACAAGTCGGACCTGGAGGAACGGCGACAGGTATCTGTGGAGGAGGCACGAGGGAAAGCTGAAGAATGGGCAGTTCAGTATGTGGAGACGTCGGCCAAAACCAGAGCCAATGTTGACAAGGTGCGTCTAAAGGATTTGTGGAAGTCACGTTTTTTTATATATGTTATTAGCGATATTGTTCCTGATACTTTATTGAAATGTTTGAGTTTTTATCTTCTGATATCTTTTCTTTTTTCTTTTTCAATATATGTTTTAAAATTAACATTTTTCTTAGTTTTTATTTCTTTGCTGTCCAATGTGACAAGAGTTTAAATATTATGTTTACCGGAACATAAAGAATGAGGTCAGACCAATCCTAGTTATTGCCTTTCTGTGTCGTACTGTTAGTCCTACAAACACATACACACTTAACTGTCTTCTCTCTGTTTCAGGTGTTCTTTGACTTGATGCGCGAAGTACGAGGCAAGAAAATGTCAGAAAATAAAGACAAAAACGGAAAAGGAAAAAACAAGAAAAACAAGAAGAGTTTCAGGGAGAGGTGCTGTTTACTGTGAACTGTTCTTTGACCTCGGCACCTCACAATACAACTGTGAAGTTGGGGATTAGGGGGAAAGCGTCCTTGCAAATTACATTCAAATTAAATTTAATCTTTTTTTTAATAGCTGGTTATAGTTTAGTACCTGAAACATTTTTAACCACTTGTGTTTTAATTTGTGTTTTTAAATGATAAATTCCGCTGTTCTGTCGGAAGATAACCACTGCTGTGACTTGAATTGCAGTGTTGGGAAAAAGAAACAGAAACAAAGCCAATGACCAAACGGCCACAGACACTAACTCTGCTGCTCAAGTCTCCACTATTCAACTCAGCCACAATACTGCCTTCAAACTCAGTTTCAGGGTTTTCCACACCACAGTTGCTGTAAACTAAACAGCGCTCTTAATTTCTTTATCTGCTCCTACTACATATATTTTTAAAAGTCGTTTACCAAAACTGTCATAATGACAGCATCCTGGCCCTGTTTTTTCCTTTTTTCTTTTATCACATTGAATATGCCTTGAGTACTCTTGACACTTCACATTTTAATGTCCTGACTTGGGGTGCATTCATAGCTTTGTCCTTGGATTTTTTTTTTTTTAATTATTATTACCAGAGGTGCAATCAGATGACGTGTTGCCAAAACTTGCTGCATTTGTGGGCCTTACACACGTATTGCTAGCCAGCCCTTTCAGTTTTTCCTGCAAAGTAAAATTTTACAGAACAAACCCCAATAAAATAATGCTAATGCAGAACCTCAAATGCTAGTTAATAAGTAGTGGTTAACAGGAAAGAGCTTATTTATCCTCCATAGAGTCTCATCATTTCTACTCTGTTGTTTTCCTTATTGTTTACTTCTTTGTTTTTTAAACTTGTAGTCACAACAGGTTCTGTGCCGTGAGACAAGTGTCGACAATCCAAGAAGCCATCACACTTCTGGTGCACTATGTCGTTATGATCTAATCTCGCTGCTTACAAATTTGAAATATTCTGTTGTTCTTTTAATGGTCTTTTGAAAAAGAAAAAAAAATGCACTACATTGCCAAACCTTAGGAGAGGTGGACTGCTTACAGAATGGCGTCAAGCTGGAGGTCCAAGAACATTATTGTGCCAACACGAAAATGACAAAAACAAAACAGCAACGTTTAAAAATGTTCAAGATCTATTTTAAATATGAGTGTGGCATCTACCAGGAAACGTTACCACTTTCTGTCTGTGTGACTGAAGCGTTGACAAAGGTGCCATTTTATGAACTCTGTTGTTGCTTAATAGAGTTCGACAGTGATGTTTCTACCACTGCCTGGACCGTTCTTTATATTAAGCCCTTCTTTTTTCCCTTTACTTCCTGTTACTGTGAGTATGCTTGTCCGTGTGCAGTGGGAGTGCTGCAGAATAAATGCTTTTTTGCCCTCTTTGTAAATACTTAATGTTACTTTGGTTGTACAGAGTCTTAAACAAATGGCCAATATGTGATAAAATGTTATTTAAACGTGGGTTTGGTGATGGAAAGGATTTTGACAGCCAATTTTTGTTAATCTTTTTGACTAATTTGTAACTTAGTCCTAGTCAAAATTTGGTATAAAAATTTTTTTTTAGTGTTTATAAAAATTATCAAATATTTTTTACTTATTTATCATTTATTGAATATACTGTGTATTATCTTGACAACAAAATGTATATTCGGGTATATTATTCACTACACTAAACAGACTAGTACTATAGTGTGTACTAATAACATTGACGAGACAAATTGGACTTCACATCTCACCCAGATCAGTTCATATTTTAATGCTTCCCTGTGTTTATGTCTGCAGATAGGACATCATATGTCAAAGTCAGCTTTATTGTCACTGTCTTCTGTATGTACTAGACATACAATGGAATCGAAATGTCGTTTCTCACTGTCCCACGCGTAGACAAGACAGGACAAAACGTTAAAGTGCAGTGTGTTGTGTTATTTTCCAAATGAATTTAAATTTGGAAAAAAGAAGACACATGAAAACACATTGTAAACCGGTGGAAACGACCCACCGGTTTACAATGTGTTCTTTTTTCCAACTTTAAATTCCAATATGTCCATATATTCGTCCTTCAGAACACGTAGCCCCGCGTACTCCCTCTTCCGGTGTTCGGCGTCTTATGTTTATTCTGCTGCCGGACACTCGTTAGCTATGATTGGATCCCCGTTCAAATGTCCCGCCTTAAGTGACAAAATCATCGCTGATTGGCCGTCTCTGCCAGACTATCCGCCTGTTTTGCATCAATTGATTAATACGTTTATGCATTTCGTCGTCGACATTTAGCGCCATATACTTTACTATTTTTGATTTATTTTAGATAAGAAGATTGCTGAATGAATCAGAAGTCGATAAGTATAATGTCACCAGATCAACTGTTCCATATCCCCAGTCGTTTGGTGTGGCGTTCCAGGGCTCCCCGTCTTCCCGGAAAATTAATGGAAACTTTTCCTATCATGGAAAACATGGAATTTTCTTAAAGGTAAAAATGTGCCCAAACCGCTTATATCACACCGGGAAATGATATGTACTCCTTGCTTCTACCTGCATTTTCAGGCAAGTTTAAGGCACCCTCCTCCCACCGTGTCCTTCCAGCGTAGCGGCTGTGACGCTGTCGGCCAATTAAAGTCGAAAGCTTCAACGAGAATTAGCAACCAAGAGCTTCGAGAAAAATCTGTCCACAATCCAGGTAAAAATGCTGCTACTAATTGGCTGTTGTTTTTCATCACTGTTTCCACTCCTCTGTTTATCTTATTAAAAGTAATTTGAATAAAATGTACAAAATGAACGGTACAGCTGAAGAAAAGAACACGTTTCAACACGTTGCATTAGCGGATACTTTAGTGACGAAGTAGCTACACCGGCAAAATAGTTTCACGAAGAAGAAACCTGGCCCAGACTGATATTATATTGCAACCAACACAATTTATAGTTGAAAATTCTTTGTTATGATAAACACTATTTCAGTTGAAGGCCTTATAAGAAAACTTGGACCTTTGAATTGCCCTCCAGTGGATGGATGATGGTAAAGCAGTTATATAATGTATGTACAGTTACGTTATCACCCACCACTAATGTAAACCTCAAATGCTTGTCATTTCCTGACAGCTTTTGTATTTTGTAGCACCTGTTTTAGTCATAACACCAACCTGTTACTCACTTTGCATTGATTGTTCCTCTGCCGTCTCTGGAAAACCGCTCTGGGCTTGTTTTCCCTGACTTTGACAGTGATGTACAACCAGCCTTTTTTATATATATTTTTTACTAACCTTACATGCTTATCTAACATGATGAGGAAAAAGCAGTTATAGGATCTTATCCCTGAACCCCTAAGGACGCTGGATCAGTAAAACTCATTTCACCATGTTCAGATAGAGCTGATTACACCACCAGGACCCACCATTTATCACTGAGGAAATATTTCTCCTTTGAAGGATAAGAGGAAGGGTCTTCCTTTGGTGTAATTTAAAAAAGAAGGTGGTACCACAGACCTTCACCCACAAGCCCACAGTTCCTGTTTGCTTACATGTACTTAAGCTCATTTGTGTTTTTCGCTTTATATACTGGAATCTTTTTTGAAATCCAAATGCAGGACAAACCTTCAAACATATACAGTCTGAAGGGACTTATTTGTGTCTTAGTCAGAAATTATTGTAGTGACCTTATTCTGTTTTTTTTTTCTCTTTTCTTTTGAGGTTCTGCCGTGTCCCTGCAGGGATGCATGATTTACCGTGATATTTCTCTCACCTCCAGGTAATGGAGAGTCCTTATTTTCCAGTCGTATTTTAGCATTAAGTCCCCTTTGGTGTCAACGTTAAAGTATTCCTTGTGTCCTCAACTTAATCGTCTGTTTGTTGGCAATGAAGAATCTGCCAGCTTTTCACCTTAACAGCCGCGGAGATGAGGCTCACTTTTCTCCTCTTTTGGAGACTGTTGTATATTTACAAGTATTGATCAGAGTGGCCCGACACGGGCTGAATGTCTAAATGAGTGCAGGAGGAAAACTTACATGCGTGTGATGTTAATTCCTAGCATGATTCTGAGTTTACTGCCTGATTTATTGGACCAATTTGACCTGGGTCAGTAAAGGCTAACCTGGAATTCTGGTAACATTTCCACCAGAAACAAAAACAAAACAAAACACAGAAGAAGTCAAAGTGCTTAGGAGCAGGTTTACCCATCCTAACACTCACCCCTCTGGATTTCCACTCTTCCCCTGCACCTCTAAATAGGCAGATTAGGTGGTCTGTTAAACCCACAGGAAAGCACTTATTTAGAAATATATGAAAGGGCAAAGTAAGACAGGCTAATGACCGATGTAGTGTCACTGGTGCACTCTCGGGTCTTTCATCATTCTGTAGCGAGAGGCCCCGTCCTCTGAGTAACCCTCATTATATCAGAGCTAATGTTGGGGATGAGGATGTTCAAGTGATAAAGCACCATCACAGTCCTTCATTATACAGAAAGAGAAACAGACTCGGTGGAATTACACTCGACCTGTAAGATAAATGCAATGGACAGAGAATAACTCCAATTTTAGCGTCTGTGCCACATCCTGTCTGCGCGCTGTCTCTGAGGAGCCGCATGTTCAGTCTCTGGCCATGTGATGGCAGTGTTGGTGTTCAGTGGAGCCGCTCTGCTGAGATCTGCCCTCTGCATCATTAGACACTCACTTTGTTTTTCACTGCTAGGCTTCATTCAGCAATGACTATTGACTGACTGGAGGCTGCAGAGTGAATGTTTATGAGCCACTGCTAAACAATAGGTTGTTGCAGAATTAATGAGTAATATAGTGATCAATGAATTATTTCCTAATGAACAGCATTAATTATTACACCTGAAGGAGGAACTGTAAAACAGCTTTGTTTGTTTGTCTTAAAAAATGCACTAAAAAAAATCCTCTATTTTCTGAAGCCAAACATCTGTGCCTTTATAATCATGATATGAAAAATTCTTCTAAATGACCGTGCTGTCCAACTATATGAAATCAGTTGATCTCCCCTTGTCAACAACAACACGTCTGGACCGCACAAATGTCACATTTGTGCGTACGGCCGCCTCGGAATTGAATTGCCGCTATTATTACTGTCAGAAAGGAGATAGCAAACCCATCAGGGCTGTCATGAAACATCACACCATACTTGTACAATGCAGTGTGTGGCAATAATAGCACAACTATCAAGAGCTTCACACTATGGCACAAATGACCCACAGTCAAAGAAAGAAAGCCTGTGAGGAGCTCCTTTTTTTTTTCTCCTCTCCTCCAGTCGTTTTAAAAACAGCACAGCTCTCCATCACCAAATCTTCTGTGCAGAAACTCTCTTTATATCCGTCCTCTGTGTGTGTGTGTGTGTGTGTCAGCAGCAGTGGGAACAATGAGAGAAAGGACCGTAGTAGTAGTAAAAAGGACCAACAGAAGGGTCTGTTTCTGTGCTCACTGCTCTGTGCAGTATTTTCTTCATGCGTGTTGAGCTCGTTGTCTCTTAATGAGTAATTAGATGTGGGGAGTGTTAACGATATGCAAAATAGATAAAGATTAATGGAGCCTTTTCATTGTGCTTTCATTATTTTGTTATACGTATGTTTAAATATGTATGTATGTATATATATACTGTATGTTTATATGACATATATCTTGTTTATATCAGAAATAAAACAGTATGGAATATTATTTATATAATTTATACATAACATATTTTTGTCATACTGTTTTATTTGTGATATTAACAAGATGGAGATGGAACCTAGAACATCTCCCTAAGAATTCTTACTCTTGTATAATATTCTGTTAAGATGATTTCTTTCTGCAAATAACGATATAATTTATAGATTAAAGTTTCATTCTACATAATTAAAATGAAACATAGACTTGTGGTGTGCCTCACTGTCCTGCCTGCAGTCCTGATCTCTCTCTTCTCTTGACTTCCAGCTCACGGTGACCAGTGGAGACGAGGACGACGGACACCTTAATGTAAGAAAAAAGAGTTTTTACTACAAACTTGTCAAACTGCAACAGATTCTTTGGTGTTGTTCCCAGATGGCTAAAAATGCAAATGAAACTAAAAGGGATGTGACCCAGATGTAGAAGAAGATAGAGGAGGACGAACGTAACGGAGAAGAAGTAGTAGGAGTATTAGGAGAAGGAAAAGTTGAAGTACAAGAAGAGTAAAAGAAGTAGAAGAGTACAAGAAAAGAAGAGTAGTACTATCTATCTATCTGTCTATCTAGAGTGGAAACGAAGTACAGGAGGAACAAGAAGTACAAGAAAAAGATCAGAAAACGAAGAAAAAAAAAAGGAAGAAAAAGATTAAATGAAGTTAAATTCCATTAACAAAGTCAGCTTCAACTCCATTATCAGAATATGAACCAACCTTTTTGTAAAGGTAAATGTGTAAATGTACCCGTGTGCTCCTGGTTCTCCCTGTGGTTTGTTTGGTTGAGCAGATCTTTCATGGTCTTCAGTGTCTTGGATCACTAACTGGAGGAGACAGTTGAACTGACGTGTGCTTATGTCTAAATGTCAAAAATTATTTGGTGTCATGCCTGATGGATGTGTTAAAGCGGACACTC